TATGTCTCAGTAATTCTATGCCTGTCTAGAGAATATACGTCAACAGGTACTTAACAGGTCAGTGGTAGAGCTTTCAGCTCACAACCGAAAGGACTTGGGTTCAATTGCGGACGAGGTGACCTGGAGTTTACCTGGAGAGAGTTCCGGGGGTCAACGCCCCCGCGGCCCGGTCTGTGACCAGGCCTCCTGGTGGATCAGAGCCTGATCAACCAGGCTGTTGCTGCTGGCTGCACGCAAACCAACGTACGAGCCACAGCCCGGCTGATCAGGAACCGACTTTAAGTGCTTGTCCAGTGCCAGCTTGAAGACTGCCAGGGGTCTGTTGGTAATCCCCCTTATGTATGCTGGGAGGCAGTTGAACAGTCTCGGGCCCCTGACACTTATTGTATGGTCTCTTAACGTGCTAGTGACACCCCTGCTTTTCATTGGGGGGATGTTGCATCGTCTGCCAAGTCTTTTGCTTTCGTAGTGAGTGATTTTCGTGTGCAAGTTCGGTACTAGTCCCTCTAGGATTTTCCAGGTGTATATAATCATGTATCTCTCCCTCCTGCGTTCCAGGGAATACAGGTTTAGGAACCTCAAGCACTCCCAGTAATTGAGGTGTTTTATCTCCGTTATTAGCGCGCCGTGAAGGTTCTCTGTACATTTTCTAGGTCAGCAATTTCACCTGCCTTGAAAGGTGCTGTTAGTGTGCAGCAATATTCCAGCCTAGATAGAACAAGTGACCTGAAGAGTGTCATCATGGGCTTGGCCTCCCTAGTTTTGAAGGTTCTCATTATCCATCCTGTCATTTTTCTAGCAGATGCGATTGATACAATGTTATGGTCCTTGAAGGTGAGATCCTCCGACATAATCACTCCCAGGTCTTTGACGTTGGTGTTTCGCTCTATTTTGTGGCCAGAATTTGTTTTGTACTCTGATGAAGATTTAATTTCCTCGTGTTTACCATATCTGAGTAATTGAAATTTCTCATCGTTGAACTTCATATTGTTTTCTGCAGCCCACTGAAAGATTCGGTTGATGTCCGAATCTTTCAGTGGGCTGCAGAAAACATACTGGTAAGTCTCCTAGCAATTTCTATCTAGTAACAGTAAATAGGTTCCTAAGAGTTTGTGGAGTGTTGTGGATGGCATCCTGGGGTAGGATCTAAGGATCTAAGTGTTGTGGATGGCATCCTGGGGTAGGATCTAAGTGTTGTGGATGGCATCCTGGGGTAGAATCTAAGGATCTAAGTGTTGTGGATGGCATCCTGGGGTAGAATCTAAGGATCTCAGTGTTGTGGATGGCATCCTGGGGCTGGATCTAAGGATCTAAGTGTTGTGGATGGCATCCTGGGGTAGAATCTAAGGATCTCAGTGTTGTAGATGGCAGCCTGGGGCTGGATCTAAGGATCTAAGTGTTGTGGATGGCATCCTGGGGTAGAATCTAAAGATCTAAGTGTTGTGGATGGCATCCTGGGGTAGAATCTAAGGATCTAAGTGTTGTGGATGGCATCCTGGGGTAGAATCTAAGGATCTCAGTGTTGTGGATGGCATCCTGGGGTAGAATCTAAGGATCTCAGTGTTGTGGATGGCCTTATCATTGATGTATATCGAAATATACATTTGATATATATCTGATATACCTACTGAGACTTCTACTCCCGGAGCCCGGCCATGGGCCAGGCTCATCTGAAACAATGCCTAGTCAATTCAGCTGTTGTTGCTGGAGACCCGCTGACCCACATATCCATCACAGCCTGGTTGATCTGGCACCTGTTGGAGATATTTCGCTCAGTTAACTCATTGAATGGCTTCTACCTTATTTCCATGCAGTCTTCTGATATTTTCATGGTAAATGTTTGATAGTCCCGGATGTTTGATACAATGTTTCTCTTTTTTGGCCACTGCACCACCCTTTTTGTTAATGGTTATTATTTGCACTTCCCTCGCCATATCTTTCACAATAATATGTTTTTTTTTATGGCTAGTGGTGTAGACTTTAGGATAAGCCCTACAAGTACTATCCAGTAATATTATCAGTGTATCTCTCTCTACCTCTGCTTCATGTAGATACATATTTGAACTGTGAGGTGTTCCTAGTAATTTAAATGTTATGGCTCTGTCGGTCATAAATGATCTCTTATAAACTGTTCCTTTCTTCTGCCCTGAACAACAGTGTTCCTGCCCTGAACAACAGTGTTCCTGCCCTGAACAACAGTGTTCCTGCTCTGATATCTCTCCTGCCCTGAACAACAGTGTTCCTGCCCTGAACAACAGTGTTCCTGCTCTGATATCTCTCCTGCCCTGAACAACAGTGTTCCTGCTCTGATATCTCTCCTGCCCTGAACAACAGTGTTCCTGCCCTGAACAACAGTGTTCCTGCCCTGAACAACAGTGTTCCTGCCCTGAACAACAGTGTTCCTGCCCTGAACAACAGTGTTCCTGCCCTGAACAACAATGTTCCTGCCCTGGACAACAATGTTCCTGCCCTGAACAACAATGTTCCTGCCCTGGACAACAGTGTTCCTGCCCTGATATCTCTCCTGCCCTGAACAACAGTGTTCCTGCCCTGAACAACAGTGTTCCTGCCCTGATATCTCTCCTGCCCTGAACAACAGTGTTCCTGCCCTGGACAACAGTGTTCCTGCCCTGAACAACAGTGTTCCTTCCCTGATATCTCTCCTGCCCTGAACAACAGTGTTCCTGCCCTGAACAACAGTGTTCCTGCCCTGATATCTCTCCTGCCCTGAACAACAGTGTTCCTGCCCTGGACAACAGTGTTCCTGCCCGCTACGACATTCCTCGTGTCCGACTAAGTCTATACAAAAATTCAACGTGTGTCAAAGGCCCTAAAATCTGGAACACCCTACCTGAAAACTCTAGAACTGCAGACACATTCATCACCTTCAAAACTACCGTTAGAAAACATCTTATCTCTCTGATACACCCCGTCAACTAACTACATAAAAACCACCTGGTGGTTCACACTTACACTCACTCACTCATCCATTTGACTATAAGCATAGAAATACGTATCTTAATCTTAAAATAATGATTCCTACCTAGTCACAAGTTTGCCTGTGATACTCCAATATAGAAACTATGTATTGTGCCAAAACAAAAGCATTCACATTGCTAAACTCACAAACTAGTATTTAGTCACTTAGTATTTAGTCACTTAGTATTTAGTCAACTTACTCCACAATTTGTAATAATTTAGGATTAAGAATTAATCTAAGTTTGCCCGAAATGCCTAGCCTTGCTAGGTGTTCTAGTGGCCCCTCTGTAATTAGTATTTTATTACATGTAAACCACACAATAACCAAAACCTGTAAACCCCACATTGTAATCCTTATAGAGAATAAACTTTGATTTGATTTGATTTGATATCTCTCCTGCCCTGAACAACAGTGTTCCTGCCCTGATATCTCTCCTGCCCTGAACAACAGTGTTCCTACCCTGATATCTCTCCTGCCCTGAACAACAGTGTTCCTGCCCTGATATCTCTCCTGCCCTGGACAACAGTGTTCCTGCCCTGATATCTCTCCTGCCCTGAACAACAGTGCTCCTGCCCTGATATCTCTCCTGCCCTGAGCAACAGTGTACCTGCCCTGATATCTCTCCTGCCCTGAACAACAGTATTCCTGCTCTGATATCTCTCCTGCCCTGAACAACAGTGTCCCGGCTCTGATATCTCTCCTGCCCTGAACAATAGTGTTCCTGCTCTGATATCTCTCCTGCCCTGAACAACAGTGTTCCTGCCCTGAACACCAGTGTCCCTGCTCTGATATCTCTCCTGCCCTGAACAATAGTGCTCCTGCCCTGATATCTCTCCTGCCCTGAACAACTGTTCCTGCCCTGATATCTCTCCTGCCCTGAACAATATTGTTCCAGCTCTGATATCTCTCCTGCCCTGAACAATATTGTTCCAGCTCTGATATCTCTCCTGCCCTGAGAGGGACAGTAAACATTGAACAATGTCTTAAATGAAAAAAAACATAAGAGATTTGGAAAGTGTCACCATTGGAACTATTCCCCATGTTTCGAAAGTTCTCATTATCCACTCCGTCATCTTCCTGGCTCTCGTGACATTTGCCTTATTGTGTTCTTCGAGAGAAAGGTCTACTGACATAGTTATTCGCAGATCTTTCACTTGTTCCTTTCATTCTGTTTGAAGATGACCACAAGTGTTTGGTTAAGTGGAAGACTCAGTATCTTATTTATTTATATTTCACAAGCCTACATCCATAGTATATGAATGTGGAGGAGTGCCACAGAGTGTATGGAGGTTGAGAGTGCCACAGAGTGTATGGAGGTTGAGAGTGCTACAGAGTGTATGGAGGTTGAGAGTGCCACAGTGTATGGAAGTTGAGAATGTCACAGAGTGTATGGAGGGTGAGAGTGTCACAGAGTGTATGGAGGTTGAGAGTGCCACAATGTATGGAGGTTGAGAGTGTCACAGAGTGTATGTAGGTTGAGAGTGCCACAGTATATGGAGATTGAGAGTGTCACAGAGTGTATGTAGGTTGAGAGTGCCACAGTATATGGAGATTGAGAGTGTCACAGAGTGTATAGAGGCTGAGAGTACCACAGAGTGTATGGAGACTGAGAGTATCGCAGAGTGTATGTAGGTTGAGAGTGCCACAGAGTGTATAGAGGCTGAGAGTGTAACAGAGTGTATGGAGGTTGAGAGTGCCACAGAGTGTATGTAGGTTGAGAGTGGAGTAAGATATATAGAGAAGTAATGTATAAGTTTGAAATTTGGCGGGTGTTGGGAGCCACCTGGCGGCTGCAGCCACAACCTCGGAATGTTCGCAATCATAACTAAGGCAAAGTACTTTCAAAAAATATATCATATATCCATTTATTTCAACCCTGCAAGTCTGCCTTAAAAATAAAAATAACCTCAAAAATATTATCATAATAAGAGTTGGATGAGAATCTAGTCTTGGCGAAACAAATTTTATTTAGGAAAATATTTATACATAACGGGATTATGAAAGATGTATAAGCAGTAGTTGTTGAAGTGCGAGTTGGGTGAGCAGCGAGTGGACGGACCCACTTTTATGCTGTTTTGTGCCTGGAAATCTAAATAAAGCCCGTTGACCGGGAAGCAAAGACGGGAAAATACGTGTAGGTGTGGTAGGCGTAGGTAGCAAGTAAGATAAGTGGGGGAGAGGTGGTATAAAGCAGCCCTGATGAGTTTGTAATGTGTTTGTTTACAATGGTTCTCAGCTGGGCTGGTGGCCTCTCCCTCAATCTATCTTCTCTCCTTATTTTCATCTCCCTCATTACTCCTTCGCTTCTCCTTCGCCTCCGTTGCGTCACACATCAGGTAACTGTGACGCTGGTATTGGCGTGACGTTGCATGATGGGAATCAAAAGGGACATATAAATCTTACACACGTTTATTTGGGAGAGATGGATGACGAGATTGTTGGTGGAGCAGTGTTGGTGGAGCAGTGTTGGTGGAGCAGTGTTGGTGGAGCAGTGTTGATGGAGCAGTGTTGGTGGAGCAGTGTTGATGGAGCAGTGTTGGTGGAGCAGTGTTGGTGGAGCAGTGTTGGTGGAGCAGTGTTGGTGGAGCAGTGTTGGTGGAGCAGTGTTGGTGGAGCAGTGTTGGTGGAGCAGTGTTGGTGAGCAGTGTTGGTGGAGCAGTGTTGGTGGAGCAGTGTTGATGGAGCAGTGTTGGTGGAGCAGTGTTGGTGGAGCAGTGTTGATGGAGCAGTGTTGGTGGAGCAGTGTTGGTGGAGCAGTGTTGGTGGAGCAGTGTTGATGGAGCAGTGTTGATGGAGCAGTGTTGGTGGAGCAGTGTTGATGGAGCATGTTGATGGAGCAGTGTTGTGGAGCATTGTTGGTGGAGCATTGTTGGTGGAGCATGTTGTGGAGCAGTGTTGTGGAGCAGTGTTGGTGGAGCATTGTTGGTGAGCATTGTTGGTGGAGCGTGTTGATGGAGCAATGTTGGTGGAGCAGTGTTGGTGGTGTGTTGGTTGGTGTGTGTGGTGGAATGTTGTGGAGTAGAGATAGTGGTGTGTTGGTGTGGTGGAGCAGTGTTGGTGGTGAAGGGGGTAGAGCAGTGTTGGTGTTGGTGGAGCAGTGTTTGGGGGTGGTGGTGGAACAGTGTTGGTGGTGAGGTGGTGGAGCAGTGTTGGTGGTGAAGGTGGTGGAGCAGTGTTGGTGGTGATGATGTGGAGTAGTGTTGGTGGTGATGGTGGAGCAGTGTTGGTGGTGATGTTGGTGGAGCAGTGTTGGTGGTGATGTTGGTGGAGTAGTGTTGGTGGTGATGTTGGTGGAGCAGTGTTGGTGGTGATGTTGGTGGAGCAGTGTTGGTGGTGATGTTAGTGAAGCAGTGTTGGTGGTGATGTTGGTAGAGCAGTGTTGGTGGTGTCTTGGTATAAGTGACAATGCTATTGGTGCTCTGTTAGTGTTCGTGTACTGGTGGTAGTAATGATGGTCATGTATAACGTAACATATGACTCACAGGTAAAACCCAACATGTGGGTGAGGGAAGTGAGGATAAGGGAAGACTAGTGCTGGAGAGGAAGGTCTTGAATTGTAGATGAAAGGGGCAGGGCTATACCCAGCTGCATGGCACTGTGGGGCAGTGTAGAGAGGGCAGCATGGAGAGAGAAGGGTGGAGACAGTGCTTGCTGGCTGGCTGGCATGTGACTAAGAAGTGGATCATGACTGCCTGGGCGTCAGGTGTCGGGAGAATCAGGTTGCATGGTGTTGAGTAAATTCTTGGGAAGGTGCATCTTGAGATTGGCTAGAATTGTCAGATGTGCCATTCTTTAGTCTTTTGAAGTTCTCCTTGGACAGGTGGTATAGTTTGACTGGGTGAATGTGGTTATCATGGTAAGGCATGAGTCCAGTCAGTGTCAGCATAGTTGCTGATCCCTGTGTTGTATAGCATATCAGTATCATCCATGTGCTTTAGATAGGAGATCCCTAGGCCTGTGACTGTTTGTATGACATCACACAAACAGTCACAGGCCTAGGGATCTCCTATCTAAAGCACATGGATGATACTGATATGCTAAACAACACAGGGATCAGCAACTATGCTGACATCAGTACATCTTCAAAAGTGAGTTGGCAAGATGATTTGCATGTGTACTCCATTACTCCATCTTTCAGATAAGAATATAGTTCATTTGTATACACTTCGTTGTTGAGGGCGGAGGTGGTGTAGAGGAAAAGGCCCGCGTGGTAGATATGGTTGATGCATCGAGTGTCTTCACTGTTTTCTTCTTCGCCGTCAGAGGATTCTTCAGAGTATTCTGGTTCTTCTATTGATGTACGGAGAGGAGGCTGGGAATCTAGATTATTTGCAGCTTGCTTGGTTGTTTTTGGGTATTGAGAGATGGCGGTGGTCAGTGGGGATGGTACTGGAGTGGGTTCTTGGGCAGAGTCAGGAGTTGAGCCTGGGGTTGATGTAAAGCTAACAATGTTTGGGATTATCTTGAAAAAGTCTTGTGATGGTGAGTCAGGAAAGTTGAAAGTCGGCATGTTATTAAGATGGAACAGTTCGTTGATTGTTGTGTTGAATGAGCCAGGATTTGCTACATTGGCAAGGGGCACATACAGATGGTCATGTAAATGTTTTAGGGAACCGACAAGTTGAAGAATGAGACTTGTGCAACATTTGGGAATCTTTATTGAGGAAATATTTCACCAGGTGTGTTCTGTCCATCAGTCTTGATGGACAGAACACACACACACACTAGGCTGAGGGACTGATTACCTCAAACGCCTAGTCTTCCACCATTCTTCTTTGTATTGGACTGAAGAAGCCACTAGTTGGCAGAACATTTCCTCAGAAAGATTCCTGAATGTTGCACAAGTGTCTCATTCTTCAGTAATGATGTTGAATCACATGTCTACCAGTGGTGGTGTTAAGATAATTAAGATTAGGTTTTGTTTTAATTTTAAACCAAGAGATTTGGCCACAGATTTTATTAAGTCCGTGCGTCATTGAGAACTATCGGTCTTGTTTCCATTGGGCTCTTTTAATTTATTCCTGCAGGATGCAACCCCCAGGAGTTGACTAACATCCTGGTACCTACTTACTGCTAAGTGAACACACACCAGGCGTAAGAAAAGCGCCCACTATTTCACTCATGCCAGGGGTCAGTCCCTGGTCGCTTGGTGTGTGAACAGAGGATGCTGCCAACTGAGCCATGAGCATCTACCAGTGTTGTTGAATAAGACACATGTGAGGTACTTGAGAATTTTTATTTCTGAATAAGACACTTGCACAGCATGCTTCTTAAGTCAGATACAAAGGTGACATTCTGGAGATAGAAGTGGAGACATAACTTTGATGTGTTCAAACCATACCACGGGCGGGGATAGAATCTGCGATCAGAGAGTCATTACAATTTCGTGAGTCATTTTAGTGTGTTCAGTAGTTAGAAATAATATCAATTTTAATATGATGTAAATTTTGTGTTGATGGTGGTAGTATTGGTTTTTTTGTGGTGTTAGTATTATGTGTGTGTTGGTGTTATTGTGGTGATGGTAGGAGTGGTGTGTTGGTGTTTTTTATGGTGTTATATAGTGTTTGTATATTTGAAGAGGTGTTTTTTGTTTGGAGTTTAATGTAGTTGTGATGCTGAGTGGAGTGGTGTGTGATTTAGTGGTGTGTTGGTGTTATTGTGGTGATGGTAGGAGTCGTGTGTTGGAATTTTTCTGGTGATGGTACTATTGTGTTGGTGGTGGTGGCAGTGGTAATTACCTATTTGTAGCTATAGGAGCAATACTATACACCTTGTGTCCCATATTCATTAGTGTGTTCATTATGGTATATTTTTTTTTAAATTTCCAGTGATGTTGCACTTACAAGCCTTTCAGTTTATTCTATTCCTCTATCACTCAGTAAAGAAAAAAATCCCAGTATCTGTTCAGCTCTATTTTTTCTTAGTTTATAAATATTTGTGGCCTCTTTTTTTTTTTTTTTTTTTTTCCTCGTTGAGGCTGCTAATAAATATCGATCAATTCTTTCATATCCTCTTAGCTATAACCTTATAGCTAAGTGGCAAGTGCAACATTCAGGAATCTTTCTGAGGAAATGTTTTGCCAACTAGTGGCTTCTTCAGTCCAATACAGCGTTTTGCTAACACAGTGGTTTTCAATTATGCCCATTCTTCATTTATTCAGACTTCCTACAATAAATATATTGTACAAAAATGGTATACAATACCGACAAGATGAAAATTAGACACATATGTAACGTCTGGGTATCTTTAATGTAGACGTTTCGCCATCCATTGGCTTTACTAATACATATTCTGCTGTCTTCAAATTATGTCCTAGAATTTGTATTGATAAAGCCACTGGATGGCGAAATGTCTGCATTAAAGGTACCCAGATGTTGCATGTGTGTGTCTAATTTTCAATAAATATATTCATCACTCGCTATAAGCAAAGGACGAAAATATGTTAAGGTAAGTAATGCGTGTACTGTATGCATTTTCAAGGTCTAATTTTATTGCTCACTTATTATATGATACTGTAAACATGTTATCATACTTTTATATGCATTTGAAAGTGAAAAAGGCTGTGTTTCACTTTACAGTAATTTTTACTTTACAGCAGTAGCCAGGAACTTAACCTGCTGTATAAGTGGGGCCTTCTTGTATGCTGTTGTCTCATCTCTTCCTGTCAACCAGCACTATGGTATACCTATGACCAGTTTTGAGAGAATTCTTAATCTTGCAGCCAGACAATGGGCCAGGCTTGCTTGGTGCTTGCATAGTCAGCCAGACTGTTGCTGTTGGCAGCCTGCTTGCCTATATATCCATCATAGCCTGGTTGCTCTGGCACTTGGAGAAACTGGCTGAGTTTCCTCTTGAAGACTTTACACTGATTCTGTCAGTTTCTGATATTTTCTGGTAGAATGTTGAATAGTCTAGGCCCATGAATGCTGATAAGGTGTCTGTTATTGTTCCAGTGGTGCCCCAGCTTTTCACTGTTTAATTTAAATTTTCTCTCATGTTGTTCACTCCAGTATGTTATTGTATATATGCACTAAGTAGGTTTGAGACCAGGGGTCTCAAATATCTTTTGTGTATGTATATATTGTTGTGTGCAGGAGGGCCCTGCTTACACAGCAGGTTAGGTTCTGGGCTACTGCTGTGAAGTGAACCATAGTCTTTTTGAACTTTCAGATGCAGATAAAAGCCTGATAATGTGTTTACACTATCATATATTAAGTGACCAATAGAGCTAGGTCTTAAAAATTGCATATGCAGTACATGCATTACTTACCATAAGCTAAAAGTGAAAATATTTTAAGGTGAGTAAATAATGGGTATGATTGAAAAATGCTGCATTAGCAAAACACTGTACAGTGGAACCCTCCTGTATCACTTTGTCTTCTGCTCCAGAGAGTACATATACTACATGTATTCAGGAGTTTTGAGCATTCCCAGTACATAGTTTAATCTGGATTCTTATTTTTTGTTTTTATCTCTGGAATCCATTTTGTAGCTCTGGAGTTTTTCTGTGTGATGAACATTGTTTTTTTAAGTTGTGGATGAATTGAACACACTACCAAGTAGCATCACAGAAGTGAAAATTTCGGGTACTGTAGCTTTAAAAATAGATTGGACACATACACAAATGGGAGTGGTTGGGTGAGAGTAGGACCTGCCTAGCATTGGCCACAGGGTAAATAATACTAATTTTTTTTTATTTTACACAGTATACTGGATACTGTTATTGTCATAAGTCATGCTAAATGCTTTTGTCCAAGTAATGTATAAATTAATACAGACTTCATCACACAGAATAGCCACGACAACTGACATCAAAGCATCCTGGTTAGCAAAACATTGATAAATGTGTGCATGCCCCAAGACTGGCGTATCAGGAACAATCAGAGACTGGGACCTCGTTAACAAGGTATGGAAAAATGCTTGCTTGTTGCATTTCTTCTTTTATTGTGTGATTGTTGTAGATGTTACTACACCATTAGTCATCAAGTGTGCTGAAATTGTCCTTAAGCCTATTGCAGTGCATTTGTATTGCTTGGTATAGTGATGGTGGTCCCTGAGACCTGAGGTTGGAATAGTGAGTATTTCTAGTGATGATGACACCTGTAACATATCTCTGACCATTTCAAGGGTTTTTCTACCTTCACAGCCTGGCTTGAGCTGATCCTGGCTTCCTTGTTGACTGTTTGGTCAGCCAGATTCTCGTAGCAATTGCAGCTTGGTCGATCTGTTGCTTGCAGGAGGTAGTGGTCCAATTTCCTCTGGTTTCCTGTTTTAGGTTGTCAGTACCACACAGATGACCCCCGAAGTACAAAAGTAGTGATGGTGACAGTTCTTCAAAGCTTAAGAGAAGCCATAAAGTGCTAATTCTCCACTTACTGTGTGTTATTTATCAATTAAACTTTATCATAGGTATGTAAACAAAAAACGAATTATATGTAGGATTTGTTACTATCTGTGGTTTCGGGTATTCTCAGTAGGTCTTGGAACACATCACCTGCAGATATGGGGAGACTACTGTATATAGGATACTGAATATGCATACCATATTAATCTAGTGCTGAAACTTTTCTTGGTGAGCTGTAGCAGAATACATAGACTCAATATAAGAAACAAGTATGTCTTTGAAGGCTGAAAAATGTGGAGCTCTTTACAAGAAGATGCAAAAAGTTACCAATCTGCAGACTACTTCAAAAATACCGATATAAAAAAAAACTTAAATCTGATGTAAATTTTATACACGCTGAACATAAATGTCTTGTATATCTATTGCAATCTACTTTAATCATACCCTGTTAGCACTCATACTTCTTCATTTATTGTCACCACTCTTTATCCCCAATATATTTTTTTAACATACCAGCCATCTCCAACCAATGTAGGGTGATCTAAAAGCAAAAAGGAATTTTTTTTCATTTAGTAATTCATACAGGAGAAGGGCTTGCTAGCATCTTGCTCCCAGCATTTTAGTTGCCTCTTATGACATGCATGGCTTATGGAAGAAGGATTCTTTTCCACTTCCCATGGATAATTATTATGACCAAAATTCAGTCCAATTGTGTATTCATGTTTCCTCATTTTAATGTATTAAACTTGCCATTCAGATAAAAGTATTAAAACTTTATCTGTATAATGTTAAGAGTTTTAAGTGCTAGTTTTAGGCAGATTTCCACAAAGTTTGAAATACATGTTACCTAATTTTGTAACAGTTGTATACTTTTTAGAGATAAAAATGTAGTATTACAGTAGTATTAAATTACAGTAATAAGTTATTGTTACTAGGGAAGGGTGGTATCATTATTATTATTATCATAGAAAGGGCAGCGAGTCCCCCTATCCTATACTAGGATGGTATGTACTATACCAGGAGTGGTGATGGTACCCTGTCCTAAGTTGGGAGAGTGAATAACCAAGGGGTGGTAATGGTGGGTATCCCAGGAGTAGTGGTGGTAGTCCAGGATATTGGGTATTCTTGTGGTAGTGGTTACTCTACCCCAGGCTGGGATAGTGAGTATCCTAATTGTGATGATAATGGTGACTTCCCTAGGCTGGGATAGTGGGTATCCCAGGAGCTGTGATGGTGTCTTATCCCAGGCTGTAATGGAGGTTAAGAAAAATAATAAAAATATTTTTAATATTTCTCTTGAGCCATACAAATTAATTACAGTAGTCATACATTCAAATTGATTATATATTGAATTTGATCTTATAATACAGATATAATTTGATAGCATACAAGGCTGAGAAGAAACATAGAGGAGTCTAGGCAGCAGCATGAGAAGCATTGTTATAGTTTGCTGGATGGGTAGATACCTGTCATCATTGTCAAACCCAACATTCTACCTGCACATTTTCTCCTTCATTAAACCCAAGGCAAACTTCCACCAGGGGTTAAAAAATGTACTGGTGGGAGGGGAAACTTAAAAAATGTCAAATATTTTATTAATCTTGGTAAAGCTGCTTTTTTTTTTTTTTTTTTTTTTTTTTTTTTTTTTTTTTTTATTGTAGCTAAGAGATATTAGTAGGAGTGTGGGTATGTACTGTGTAGTGCTGGTATGGGGTAGTGTGTGGGTGTGATATAGCGTGTGGGGTGTCAGGCTTGGACCAGGGGTATAGATTATGACCAGCATTGTTCTATATTGTATAAAAAGTATAATGCAAAGATGAGGGTGTCATTATAGTGAAGTATGCAGGAGAGAGGAAAGTGCATCATTGCTCTCACACTAGTTAACACAAACTCTCATACTAACCCCAGAGAGTTTTGTACATTGTTTTATCCCAGATTTATGAAAGTATTTCACAATTGTGTATATTGTTACATATTATGAAACTTATAGATGTTGAAATATTTTTTTAATGGTTGTGTTAGTATCTTGTTGGTGTATTATTGGCAGGTAGTGTGTATGTGTTGATCCAATCGTGTGTGTGTAAATTTGTAAATGAATTACGATGGAATAAATGGGATTTGAAATTATGCAAATTCTTTGTAGGTATGATTATGTGAGTGGTTTGGGTGTGGGGGGTATAGGTGAGGATGTGGGTGGATATGGGTGGGTGTGTCTGGGGGTATGGGTGTATGTGTGTGTAGGGGTGTACTCGCCTATATGTGGTTACAGGGGTCGAGTCACAGATCCTGGCTCTTGTATGGGTGTTGCAGAGAGGTTGCCAATGTGGAATCAAATTTGTGTCAGGTTTAATATATGTGGTGGAGTGTGCATTATGTTTGCCAGCCACCAGTAATGCACCGGCTTGTGTCGTGTCCTCAGGGCCATAATAGGCACGTCGAGTGGGGAGCCCTCGTGAAAAGCGACGTCTGAATGGTACGACGAAATTCACTAAGGGTGGGTGGCCACACTCGCCCTTATGTTGATCGCTTTAGGCTCGTTTTACGTGCCTACGAGTAGAATATTGAACCTTAGTGTTTGGGTAGTTATTGAAAATGGATGTGGGTGCTGGTGGCTATTGACTTTTTTGTTTTTTTGTTTGTGGGTGATGAAGTTGCAATAACAAGAGAAGGTACATACGGTACTATAGCTTACATCAAGATGATAATACTGCTGTCTTAGTTCTAGCACCAGCATCTGAGACTGTGGTTAACTATTAATAATTTTCAGATGTAAACAGAGTGTAGATGAAGAGGGTCCAGAGGGAACCCAACATCTGTGATTGACTGAGCTCACGTGCCACAACCTACTGAACCCTGAGCCTCCGAGGGGGCGTGGGTTAGCCCATGTAATCCTGTGTGCTTGTGGAACAATGGATATAACGGAGGCCAGGCCCGTGCTCGCCTCGATTAAACTGTGATTGGTGAACTGGACATCCTGCGGAGCCTTGTGAGTACACACCCTTAATGCTTCCCCGTTGACTTCTGGTCTACCCCCCCTTTCCCCTCTTTCCTGCAGCCTGTCTCCTCACCCCTCTTTCTTACCCTCCTGCATATCCCCTCTCCTCCTCACTACATCCCCTACCAATATACCCCACCCCACCCTCTGTACACTGACAGCCTACAGTCCTGTTTCCTTCTTTCTACAGCCACCATCTCCATCTCCCCTCTCCATTCTATCCCTCATTCCCCCCCCTTCCTCTATCTCTCAGTTTATAACTCCTCTTGTCCTAAGCCTTTCCCTCTTTCTAACCTTGTTTTCTCCCATTCCAGCCTACATCATCCTCCCCTGCCTCTCTACACCTGGTCCAGGGCCCTGCACCATGATTACTCTTCACTTTATGTATATACTAATTTTACTCCTAACTCTCAACTCCTTGTGTTTATTCTTTACACCCCTTCTTCCTCTCCTGCCTCCTTCACCATCTGGGATTACTTCCATCTCCCCAGCCTCTCCAGATTTCCTTCCTATTTACCCTCTCCTCTTTTCCCTTACCCCATCTCCCTCTCCCTTCCCTCTTTCTCCTCTCCCCCTTCCCTCTCCTCTTTTTCCTTTCTCCCTCTCCCTTCCCCCTTTTCTCCTCTCCCTCTCCCCTCTCTAGCTTTGTCTCTCCCCTTCCCCCTATTCTCTTCCTCTCTCCTACCCCACTCTCCATCTCCCTCTATCCTCTACCACTCTCCATCTCCCCCTATCCTGTGGTGCTCTCCACCTTTCCCTATCCTGTGCTGCTCTCCATCTCCCACCTATCCTCTGCCCTCTCCATCTTCCCCTATCATCTCCCCATCTCTATCTCCCCCTATCCTCTCTCCCTCCATGCCATCAGCTCTACATCCCTTGACATGTCCCAACATGCACAGCATGTCTTGGTATCCCTTGTCCCTTGGAGGAATACCCCACTGCTCTCTTTCCCCCCATTCCTGCCTTGCCTCTTGCCCCCTCTCATCCCCTCCCTCCATCCCCACACACACTTTCCCCTCATTCCCCATTCTCTCACCACCCTTTCATCCCTCTTCATTTCTCTGTATTCACATGTATGTATATACACACAGTACACAAATGTTCATGTACACACACACATATATATGTATATATATATATATATATATATATAATATATATATATATATATATATATATATATATATAATATATATATATATATTATATATATATATAATATATATATATATATATATATATATATATATATATATATATATATATATATATATATATATATATATATATATATATATATATAAATATATATATATATATATATATATATATATATATATATATATATATATATATATATATATATATAATATATATTATATATATATATATATATATATATATAATATATATATATAGGTAGTAGGTTGGTAGACAGCAACCGCCCAGGGAGGTACTACCGTCCTGCCAAGTGAGTGTAAAACGAAAGCCTGTAATTGTTTTACATGATGGTAGGATTGCTGGTGTCCTTTTTTCTGTCTCATGAACATGCAAGATTTCAGGTACGTCTTGCTACTTCTACTTACACTTAGGTCACACTACACATACATGTACAAGCACATATATACACACCCCTCTGGGTTTTCTTCTATTTTCTTTCTAGTTCTTATTCTTGTTTATTTCCTCTTATCTCCATGGGGAAGTGGAACAGAATTCTTCCTCCGTAAGCCATGCGTGTTGTAAGAGGCGACTAAAATGCCGGGAGCAAGGGGCTAGTAACCTCTTCTCCTGTATATATTACTAAATGTAAAAGGAGAAACTTTTGTTTTTCCTTTTGGGCCACCCCACCTCAGTGGGATACGGCCGGTGTGTTGAAAGAAGAAAGATATATATATATGTGTGTGTGTGTGTGTGTGTGTGTGTGTGTGTGTGATTATGTATGAGTGATGGTGAAAGTTTTTTTCTTTCTTTTCGGGTCACCCTGCCTTGGTGGGAAAAGGCTGACATGTTAAATAAACATAGGTACATATGTACACATGTATGTGTGCACACGTGCAAGGCTGTGGAGTTGGAGTCGTAAGTAATTCTTGGGTTACTGGAGTTGGTAAAGTGTAATTAAAGGAGTTGGAGTCAAAGTCGGAGGTACCACAAATAAAGGAGTCGAAATTGAAGGTTTTATGTGCCGACTCCACAGCCCTGCACACGTCTACAGATATATGAAGATGTGCATGAATGTGCACTTTGGCAGTATTGTTGACCTTTCATTGTCTTGTGAGTGCTGCAGTATGACAGGTCAAGCTTACTTTCAGTATTCATTATATTTTATGTTTGCTTTCCAATTTGATTCTCAATATTTTTAGATATGATGGTTTTTAGGTCCCAGACCAGGTCTTATGGTTGCTGGCCTGGTCACCAGACTATTTGTGCTAGAAGCATGCAGTTCAATATAAAGACCACAGCCTGGCTGCTCAAGAACACATTAAGTGTCCTTGTGAAGACAACTAGGGGCATGAAAGCTAGGGTTATGCTGGTAATGCTCTTTGTATATGGAGGGAGGATGAATAAACAGAAGGGTGGACAAAGGGCTTGAACCGCAGCTCATAAATTGATAGTCTGACACTGTACCATCTAGGCTAACCCAGAGGCCTGGGTTAGCGTAGATGGTAGAGTATCGGAGAGTCAATTTACAGACCATGGTTTGAGCCTCTCGTCCACCTTTCTGTTTATTCATTGACAGTTGATTATTGCAACTAATTTGAGTTCAGTGGGAGGATATTGAAAAGTCTAGGCCCTTCACAGTGGCTAGGTTTTCCTTGAAGGGTTATGATTGCATCAGGATCTGCACAAACAGCTTGGTTGACCAGGCAGTAACAGGGAAACTTGGCCTTAGGCTAGGCATTGAGGATAGGAGAGCCCTGGTAACTGCTCACAGGTATGTCTGTCTTGAGGTGCTGAATGAGAAACAGTTTGGACAGAAACATCAGAGACCCTCTTTAGTAGATCTCTGAGGCCAAAATATCAGATCTTTCTTACCTATGAACCCAAGATTAATCATAGTGAACAGTTGTCATTGCAGCATTGAACCTGCTATGTGAATGTACCACAGTTTGAGTCTCTGTTTATTCTTGTGTTTAATCACTTATCTATGTTTAATATTGGTCAAAAGTGGTGTCTTACTTTGCATTGCTTGTGTTCTCCATATGTTGGTATTGTGTCAGTAACCAGGTCAACCAAGAGTGCTGTATCACTGACCAGGTTTAGGTGGCCATCAACTGACTCAAGTAAGAAAGCACCTTTTAAGAGCTACAAGGGAGGGAAACAAGATAGGTAGGTACGTACAGTGGTTTTGAGTGTGGGTTGGTACTTGGGAGATGAGGTGGTAGGAAGGTGGAGCTTAGGTAAGCAAATAGGTAGGTGATTAGAAGGATTATGAAACCCAGGTAGGTAGATTGAAACATGCAGGTAAGAAGGAAGAGAGCTAGGCTCACAGATTAGATAAACCAATGGGGTGTGGAAAAGGAGGGAAGAGCATAAGGAGGAGACATAATGCTACATTTGCAAGGATGATCTTTCATAAAGGGAATGGACAGCTGAGCCTGCAGAAAACTACTTGTGGTAAGGTTATTAATTAAGAGAATGAAGGGTAGGGGAGAGAATAAGGGGAGATGGAAGGGCAGGGGCAGTGGGTAGATGAAAAAGCAGGTAGGAAGTGAGGGAGGATGAAGAGGGTTTGATGTGGCAAGGGTATGTGTTGTGGGTAGAATGGGGGAAGGAATGGAGCAGAGGTAAATATATGAAGGGAGAACGGTAGAAAACCTAAAATTAGGAAAGGGAATGAGAGGCAGGCAAAAGCAGGGAGATGGGTAGGGAATAGAAGAGAAAGAAGCAAGAGAGGAAAACTAGAGGAGGAGGAGGAGGAGGATAGGAAGGAGGCAGAGGTATAGGGAAGGACAGGGTGGTAGGGAGATTATAGGTGAACAGTCTAGCAGAGAGGGAGTGAAGGAAGGTTAAAAGGCAGGATGACTGGATGGAAGGCAAGCAGAGGGAGGGGGAGAGAGGAGATGGGGAGGGCTGATGGTAGAATGAGGCAGTAAGATAGGTAGGGAGGCAGGTGGTGAAGGGGGGGAGGTCAGGTAGGCAGGCAACAAATGAGGGTATTGTCATACATTAATAACAGGTAGGCAGAGCTGGCCTCTTAGTGTGTGTAAGTTTTTTGAGGGGTCTTTTATGATATTGGGGCTGTACCTTCTGCCATGAATCTAGATCACAGTGTAGTGTAGTGTGCTTATTAGCTGTCGTGTGCCTATTGTGGAGTACCTAGCATTCCCTCCAGGAACACATTTCCCTCTTAATTATGTATTGAAGATGCTGTGGCCTAGGTGGGGAGTGGGGAGGGGTGGGGGCAGAGGACGGATGTGGTGGTCGCAGGTGCATTATTGGTTTTGGGCACACTGCTGCCTTCTGTGCTCTCAGCCCCATGTAACTGTATTATTTCAGGCAACATTAAAGGTGTGCACTGATAGGAAAAATAAATCTTGGTGCAGTGCGCGTGGCGTAGGTACTTTAAAGAAAGTGTTGAGTTTAGTTACCTGTTGCTTGCTCTGGTGGTAGCTGCTGTTTATTTGTTTAATTACTGCTTGTGCTTAGTCTTTATAAATTGTTGGCTAAGTTACACAAATCTTGACTTTTTTTTTATTACTGCTATTGGAGGTATTTTGGCAATGTGGTATGGGGTGTGTCCTGGGAGTATTGTGGGGATGATGTGTTGACAAGGTACACACACTGACAGGTTCGCTCTCACTTTCGTGCCCTCAGTGAACCATTGTGCCCAAATTCTTTCCCTATTAACAGTCCTTTATAGGCCTTCTTTTTACTTTTTTTTAGAGAAAGATCAGGATACCATTTAACTACTGTTAGTGGCTTTTTGGCACATAATTTTTTTTACATTATTTTACAGCTTGAATTCATTATTTAGATATAACACTGTTGTT